CTGGGGGGCTGGGGGGCTCTGGGCTCTGTGCTCCTCTCCCCCCGCCTGCAGCATCCACAACGGGGTCATTGCCGTCTTCCAGCGCAAGGGGCTGCCGGACCAGGAGCTTTTCGGCCTCAACGAAGGCGTCCGGTGAGTGGCCGTCCTGGCCTGTCCCAGGCCTGGGTCTGTGCGTGGCAGGGAGGGCTGTGGCAGGGCGAGAGGCCCCAGCAGGCCTGAGGTTCCACCCTGAGCGCCATGGTGGGCAGTGACCCCCGTGCGGGCCTGGCGGGGACCCCTCCTGACAACTTCTGTTCAGGGGAATCAGGGTGGGGCTCGGACTGTGGCTCACGATAACGCCCACATTCCCTGCTGGTGGCGAGCATCGGGGAAGATATTTATTCTGTGGAAGAGGAAGGACCCACCTGCCTAATGAGGGGCGTGTCGCTCCCGGAAAAGCCGTCGCAGCCGGCCGAACGCCCCTCGTTTCCTGTGAATAGCTCAGGAATGAGCCCTTGCGAAGGAGCCTCAGACAGACCCGCTTCCCCGGGAATCTGCAAGGCCAGCCAAGTCAGTGCCGTGTCCTCGCGGCGGACGCCGAAGCTCGGAGAGGTCAAGAGACTTGCCCGGGGTCCCATAGTGCTGCAAGGAGGCGTAGGGCCCCCCTGTGCCCTTCCCTCCTCCCCCTCCCCCTCCCCCCAGCCATGCTGCCCCGTCTCTGCACCAAAAGAAGAGCTGGGAAAAATAGACACCAAGCCTCACCGACTCCAGGGGGGAGTAAAAGGGGACTTGGGATGGGGGGTCACCCGCCCCTCCAGGCTGGCAAAGCCACATGGGGAGCAGGGGCTTGTCGCCTCTGCCAGGCCCGGCGTGTGACCTGTCCAGCTTTGCTCAGGCTCATCTGGCCACCCAAGGATGGGGCCTAGGAGCCACCGGGGATGTCAGGGGGGCCCAGAGTTCCCGTTTTCCTAATGTGCCTCTGCTTAGGGGAAGAGTCGGTAGCAAGCTCGAAGACGCCACTGGGCGCTTAAACAACAGAAAATAGGAAATGTCTCTAAAATTCCTGACCAAAGCACCAGGGACATTCTCCCGGCAGCATAAATAGGGGTGGCCTCCCCTCCACCAGGACTGTAACCCCAGCCCATGTGTCCTTGTCCTCAACCCTTGGGGACGGGCATAGGGCAGGTAATCTCGGGAGTATGTGCCAGGAGGGTGGAGGGTACAGAGAAGCTACAATGACCCCCTCTCGCCAGCCCCAGGATCTTTACTTGAGAAACGGGTAGAGAGGTCAGGGTGGCGGGGGACGTGGCACTTCCGGCCAGCTAGGCTATTTGGGGCAACTTTTAGCCTGTTCAGAATTAAATGCTTGGAATCATTAAGTAACAGTAACAGGCCTTTCTGTTGAGGGTTTGCTCTGTGCCCGAGCTTTCCGTGGCTTAAGCTCCTCACAGCAGCCCTGACGAGTTTCAGGGGTTCATGGGACCTTACTATCTCGTTTTACAGATGAGGAAACTGAGGCACAGAGAGGCCGTGGGTCGTTCGCGGTCACTCGTTTTACAGATGAGGAAACTGAGGCACAGAGAGACCGTTAGTCGTTCGCGGTCGTGGGGCTGGTCAGGAGAGCCAGACTCGGGCCTCTGGCTTCAGCCTGGGGGTCCTTCAAGGCCACCCCCTGCCCAGCCCCCACCCCCAGCTCCTCTCTATCACGTGGCCACATTAAATTAAGAGAATTTAATTGTGCATTAAATCTATAATCGGTCATTAGCTTTGGTCCCACGAGAGCCTTGTGCTGTGACTGGGGCCATTGACCACATCGTTATCCGAATTCTCCTTGGCTCCCATGAGATTCAGGGAGGGACCCTCGGCTGCACCCAGGCTTGGGTGGGGTGGGGTGGTGAGTAGTAGCAGGACCCCGACGTCTGGTCATCATTATTTTCCCCCACTTTATATGTATATGGGATTCTTACTTTTGAATATAATTCACCCTTTTAAAATGTACAGTTCAGGGTTTTCAGTGTATTCACAAGGCTGTACAGCCATCACCCTCTTCCAGAACGTTCGTCACCCCCCAGGAAAGCACGTCCCCATTACCTGCGGCCCCAGCCTCTGGCAAATACCAGCCGGCTCTCTGTCCGTGCGGATTTGCCTGTTCTGGATACTTCATGGGGATGGGATCGCTCAGTGTGTGCGTGGCCTTTCACGGCGGGCTTTTTCCACTGGACATGCTGCTTTCAGGGTCCAGTGTAGCCACATGCGTCAGTCCCTCGTTCTTTTTGACGGCTGCATAATATTCCATTGTGTGGAAAACACGCCCTTTTGTTTCTCCATCCCTCTGTCGCTGGACGTTCGGGTTGCTTCCATGCCTTGGCTGTTGTGAATAGTGCTGCTGTGACATCTGTGGACAAGATTCTTGTGGACATGTTTTCGTCTCTCTTGGGTCTGTACCTGGGTGGCACTGCCGGATCACGTCACAGGTCTGCGGCTGGCTTTCTGGGGACCCGCCCGGCTGTTTTCCACGGCGGCCGTACCATTCTGCGTTGCCACTGGTTGTGGCCGACGACTCAGTTTCCTCTCGTTCTCACCAATACTTGTTATTTTCCGCGTTTCGATTCTAACAGTGCGAGTGCGTGTGAGATGCCATGTGGTGGTTTTGATTTGCATTTTCCTTATGACTAATGACCGAGCATCTTTTCATGTGCTTATTGGCCATTCGCATCTCTTGGGAAGAATGGCTATTCAGGTCCTGTGCCCGTTTTTTTAATTGGGTCCTTTGTCTTTTTATTGTTGAGTCGGAGGCGTTCTTTCTTTCTTATGGATTGAGACCCTCATCAGATACTGATTTGCACATTTTTCCCCATCCCACGAGCTCTTTCACATTCTCGATGCTGTCCTTCGAAACACTGAAGTTTAACTTTGATGACCTTTAGTCCGTCGATCTAGTCCTCCTTGGGCAATGTCCCTTTATTCCCAGTATGCACAGCTGCCTTGGGGCTCCCCGTGGGATGTGGGTCCCCCTCCCCTCTGTCAGAGAGCCCGTGGCCGGCTCGGCCCACGCCGGGCGGCCTGTCAGCAGACCCCACTGGGGCCTCGTCACTTGCCCTCCCAGAGCCTCAGATCCCATGTCTGTGGAATGAGCGTGGCTCCCACTCTGCAGGTGTTTGGCCACAGCCTGCGTGACCTCCCGCCTCCTGCCTGGGACATCCGGTCTCTCGAGCCAGGAAAGAGGGGATCCCAGGGCGCTGTCACCTGCCCGATGAAATCCTAGAGAATTGGCGCAGAGCCTCTTAGCAGTCGTGGAAGTCACCCACACATTGATTAAGCTTTCACTAGTGGGCACCTACTGTATACGGGCTTCAGAGGTCCATGGGAAGGCCGCTGGCAGAATTCCCAGCCAAAGACAGTGGGGCCTGAACTGGCCTCTCCCCGTCAGCCATGTGGACAGCACGGCCCTGAGGCTGCGACCATGCAGCCAGGGGGACCCCGTCTTCCCGAGTCCATGTTCATTCCCCTTATCAGTGGCTGGGGAGCCCATGGGCACAGCCAAATCAGGGGATGCTCAGCCAGCCATGCCCCTCACCCCTGCCCCGCAGTTCACATGGTGTGAGCTGAGAAGAAACATCAGAGGAGGTGCAAGGACCAGCAGAGTCACCCCAAAACAGGGCTCCATGAGAGCTACTGCCGGCTCTCCAGCCCTGGTGAGCGGAGGGTCTGCTGGGCCCGGTAGGAGACTGCCCGTCCTCCCTCCTCCATCCTTTCTTCCCTCCTTCATCAGCGTTCATGCTTGCGCCCCACCCCCCCGCCAGCCATGGGCAGGGAAGAGGGTGAGGAGGGCTTCACTGAGCACCTGCTCCATACACGAGGGTCAGCCATGATCCCGGTTGACCCCCCGGGCCCTCCTGCTCAGGCCACGGAAGAGGGTGCGGGGCTCAGACAGCTCAGGGCCTTGGGCAGGTGGAAGAGGGTGGAGCGGGTGTTAACTTCCCAAGAACACGCGAGATGCTCGTGGCCCTCACTTTCCCCCTTTCCCTGGCCCCCTTCAGCTTCCTCTTGTGTGAAATGGGGAGCGGGGATAATGAACCGTGAATCTCCACTGTGGACCGTGAAAGTGCACGGCCAGCCCAGTCCCCCGCAGCCCTGGGTCGCGTGGATGTGCCCACCCCTCACGTTGGCAGTGTCCCACTGCCCGTGCGGCCCCCAGCCCAGGTCCCAGCCCCCGCCCCACGCAGGTGCCATGAGGCCTCTGACTCCATCCCCCCTCATTCTCCTCTCCCCTCCCCCCACAGGCAGCTGCTGAAGACGGAGCTGGGGTCCTTCTTCACGGAGTACCTGCAGGTGGGTGGTCTCGCTCTCCAGCGAGGCTGGCTTCGCTTCCTGGGTGGCCCAGAAAGGCCTGGGGGTCACCTGCTGCCCACCAGTGGGCATGTGGAGCACTCGGTTCCGAGGACTCCACTACACCATGGCTCAGTTTCCCGATCGAGCCACCACAGATTTCTGTGCAGGTTAAATGCTGAGACGCTGGTGACGTCTTAGTGCCGTGTCTGGCACGTGGTGGGACTCGGGTGGTTTGTTGTCCGTCGTCCACCTCCTCCTGGAATGTCAGCGCAGGCCCCCAGATGCCACGTTTGGGCGGCAAGGCCCCTCTGTCTCAGCAGCTGCTGCACCCCATCTGGCCAGGAGGCCTGCAAAGTCGGCGGACACACAGGAACCCGGGGCTCAGAGAGGTGCAAGGACCTGCCCAGGTCACACAGCCAGGAAGGGGTGGTGCAGGGGCCCCCTCGTGCAGGCTCAGCGCGGGGTGCCCGCCCTACCTGGGGAGGGCTGGGGGCCAGCCCGAAGGTCCTCACTTCCCATGGTTGAGAGTTGGCTGTATAATCGAGCTTTATCGAGGTGATTCACGTACCATACAGCGCACCCACTTAAAGTGTACAACTCACTGGTTTTTAGCATATTCACAAAGTCACGTAACCATCGCCATTAAGTCCAGAATGTTTTCTTCACCCCAAAAAGAAACCCCACATTTGCAAGCAGTCCCCATCCCCCTCCTTGGCCCCTGGCAACTACCAGTCTGCTTTCTCTGTGGCTTTTCCTATCCTGGACCTTTCGCATACGTGGCATCCCACGGTACGAGGCCTTTCGTGTCTGGCTGCTTCCGCCGAGCACAGGGTTTTCGGGGTTCATCTGTGTCATAGCGTGTGCTGGTGCTTCATTCCTGTTACAGCCAAATACTGTTCCGTTGTCTGGCTGCTCCCCGTTTTGTTTGTCCATTTGTCTGTGGTTGGACACTGGGTCGTTTCCACCTCTTGGCTGTTGTGAGTGGCTCTGTGACCACCTAGTGTCACCCCAGCCACCGCCCAGGGGGTGTGCACAGGGCCTGCGTTTGGAGCCTCTCATTAGTGATGGCAGCTCACAGACCAGGCCTTCATCAGCAGACCCCTCCTTCTTGGACTCGTGGGGGCCCTGCCCGCCAGGCCCCCCCACCCCGGGCACCCCTGTGACAGTGTCTCTGTGTGCTTTTCAGAACCAGCTGCTGACGAAAGGCATGGTGATCCTGAGGGATAAGATCCGCTTCTATGAGGGTGAGTCTGGCCTGGTGGCCGGGACCCAGTGCCGGGCCGCCCTGCTTGCTGGCATGGCTGCTGGGCATTGTGGCCAGTGCCCCGCGGTGGTGGCACCACAGGTGAGCCCTCGGGAACCCTGGCACTGCCAGTCTTGCCTGGGACCCCAAGTTCTGTGTGGGCAGTGTGGCTCTCTTGAGCAGGAGGACTTGGAAGGGGCAGGAATATGCCTTAGGGGCAGCAGGGCCAAGAGCCGACCCCAGGCGGGGACTTCGTTGGGGAGAGCATCTGCCCACCACTTGCTGGAGCCCGGGAGAGTCAAGAGACGTCGAAGAGAAGACCCCGCTTCACCCCACTGCCCACAGCGTCCTGGGAGACCCCTGCCAGGGTCTCGGAGGGCTGGAGTAGAGCTGGCTTAGGGCAGAGGCTGGAGCAGGGAGCTGCCACCTAGGTAGGGGCAGCCCTTGTGGCCCCCCCACTGGGCATTCTAGGCGCGCTTCGTCCTTTAACAACACCCTCCCTGTGAGGCCTCGGGGTCCCATTCCCGTTTCGTATTGGGGAGCAAAGCAGTGCTGCCAGGGGGGATTATCCACGGCCACACCGCAGAGGACGCATAGCGGTGAGGCTGGGACCCAGGTCGGCCTGACGCCAGGGCACACACACTCTGCCCGTCTGGAAGCCAGCGAGCCCCGGCTGGCCTGTGTGCAGCTCGGGCCCCAGCAGGTGGAGGAGGGTCCTGACCGACAGCCCTCTCCCCTCCAGGCCTGGAGTCTTGCGGTGTGCCAGGGCCCAACACCCTTGGGCTCCCGTGGGCCCTGGGGCGACAGCTAAAGTGTGTGCCTCCTTGCAGCAGTGACCTGGCACGGGGAGAGATCGAATTAGAGGAGGACTCAGCTCAAACCGATACGGCTTTGCCGAGGGCCCCGTGTGCCAGGCCTGTGCTGAGTTCAGGTTCCGCGAACATCTGTCGAGCACCTACGATGCGTGGGGCCCAAGTTTATTGGGCTAGACTCCGTCCTGACTCTGCTAACTCACTGGATCCCCCAGCAGCCCTGTGAAGGACGGACCATTGTGCAGCCACTGGACATACGGGGAAACTGAGGCACGGAGGAAGTCAGTAACTCGCCCAGGCCACGTGGCTGCTACTTGGCAGTCGGGCTCCTAAGCCTGCCTTTTCTCTTTTGCTCCAAATCCTGGAGTCCTCACTTTGACCCTGGAAAGAAGGGGCGCTAGCACGTTTGAACTAGGGGAGGACTCAGGCCTGGCGGCCTGGCGGCCTGGCACATTGCCAGATGAACTTGGAGCTGCGTGCCCGTTTCTTCTGCACCTCCCTGGGCATGTCAGGTGAAGGCTGCCAAGGCAGGAGCCTGCGAAGGGCCTTGAGGACCTGAGACACGGGGGCCAGGGAGTACAGGCCATCGGCGTTTCTGGGCCAGCTGGCAGGACAGGGTGCTGAGGACGTGGCACCTGGCAGAGGTGGCCTCCCACGCCCCTCTCCTGACTCGGCGCATTCCGGCAGCGCCTGTGCCTCCCACCGGCTCTGGCCCAGGGGAACTGGGCTCGTCCGAGAAGAGGAGCTTTGTGTGGCTCGGTCGAGGCCTGCCCACAGCAGCCGTGTCCGCCAGGCCACCCAGCAGGGCGTGCCAGCCCCATCCAACCGCCCCAGGCCTCAGGAACCAGCCCAGAGCCCCAGGCTGGCGGCCAGAGGGCCTGGTGCTCAGTCTTCATCAGCCACAGACACGTCATTTCCCTCTGGCCGTAGAGCTCCGCCCTAACCCCATGGCGCTCCATCCCTGGGCTCTGTCGGTATCAGGATGTCAGGCCCCAGGTGGCCTCAGGGGACCTGGAAACGAAGGAGACCCAGCCCTGCCCAGCACGGGCTCGTAGCCAGCTGAGGACACAGATGAGGACCAGGTGGTAAAAGTCCAGGGTGATGAAGTCAGGCTGAAGGGAAGCCCTGTGAAGAAGGGATTGGATCCACACTGGCAGTCAGGGAGGGCTGCACGGAGACAGTGGCCCTTGAGTAGGGCCTCAAATTGTGGTCAGTCCGGGAGGTTGTCCGGCCGCCGTCAGCCCATGCAGTGGGAACGATGACCGGACCCACGCCCTGAGGGCAGCACCTGGAGCCTCTGCCTCCCACCGCGGTTCGAGCCCCAGGAGAGCTCTTCCTTGAGACTGGCGCCTGCAGCCAGCCATGCCCTCGCCAGTGCCTCTGCTGGAGGGGGCGGTGGCCCCAGGCCCTCTCTGCCTGCTCCTCAGTGGAGGCCTTGGACATTGGCCCCCAAGCCAAGTGATTCCTGGAAGGAAGCCTGGAGGCCAGCCTGGAGATGGAGGCCTTTCCCCAGGACCACGTCCGAGGTTGTGGTGGGTGGTCTCCGCATGGCGGCTGAGAAGCGAGCTCCAGCTGCAGCCAGGATCACCCTTCTGCGGTCAGAGCTGTCCCTGAGGTCTCCCCGCGACAAGATGCGGCCTGAGCCGCCATCAGTCACTCCTCAGCCGACTCAGGAGGAGGGCCAACGCGCCCCCAGGGAGACCCAGCTCCGGGCCGTGGCCGCCACCCAGGTCCTGCCGAGCATCATCAGGGACGTGCCCCACATGGTGTCGTATCAATGGCCAGCCCTCCTTGGGCACCTGCCACCTGGCGTCTTTCAGCCCCGTGTGTGTGGGGCGGTCACCGTGCACGTCTGACAGAGGACCCCACTCAGGCCCAGGGCGCGAGACTTCCTCCAGCCCCACAGCGAGGCTTCACCCCTGTGCCCCTGACTGTCACCCCTGACAACACCACAGTCCCCAGCAGAGAGCCCGGCCCGCGGGCGAGGCCCCGCTTCCTGGCTCCGGTCAGCGTGTGGCTCTGGCTGAGCCTGGACTCCGTGTTTTACAACATCTGCTTTCCGCAGCATTTCCGCTGGAGAGTGGCCTTTGCTCAGCCGACAACGGCCTGGCCCGAGCCCAGGGCCACCCCGCAGCCCGGGCACTGAGCAGCCTTTCTTCTTGCCAGCGGTGCCGGGGACCTGAAGGGACCTCTGTGTTCAGGCAGAGCCTCTCGGGCACCCGCCCATCCTGCCACCGACCCAGGTGTCGCCCCTGGGGAGAACCGGGAGCTGGCCACTTGGCAGGGAGCCCCAGCACCAGCAGACAGGCCAAGCAGCGAGGCCAGACCCCCCTCACTGGCAGCTGGGCAGAACTGGGCCTCCTGGGGCCACCCCCGCCAGCCCCCCCTCCCAGAGCCCTGGCGCCTGCACAGACCAGGCGGGCAAGAGGGGCCCGGGGCCCAAGGCACGTGAGGGAAACAGGCCAAGGCCCTTGTCCGGCCCCCTCGTTCCCATGGAAACCTGCAGCGGACAGGCCTGAGCAGTGTAGTGTGGGAGGCCGGCCAGAGTGGGGGACTTTCCTGCCTCGCCCAGAGACACCCACCACACCCTGTTTTCCTGCCAGTCTGGCTGCCAGGTGGGGGCCTTGGCGACACGCACCAGGGTCTGCTCATCCCAGCCCCAGCAATCCTTCACCCCAGCTGTTCTTTTCCCAGTGGGAGGGCTGAGGGTTCAGCACTTTGCATTTCCCAGGGAATCGCAGAGCCAGTTTGGGGGCGCCTCGGCTGTCCCCGCCCCCCCAAGGGCTGTCTGCACCGTTCTTTCCCAGAGCCGGCAAAAGTACCTGCGGAGCTTGTCCCAGTGCCTGCTTTTCACACCTCTGCTTTCACGGTTCACACACCAGGGATGTCGGTCAGCCTGGCAAACCATGCTCCCGAATCAGCTCGGGTAGCACCTCCTCCAGGAAGCCCTCCTCGCCTGACCCTCGCCCCCTCTTCTCCCCTTTCCCACCTGGGGCATGTTGCTGCTGTTGGATGGTCTCCCTGGCTCCCCAGGTCCCACCTCAGGCAGCCTGGGGTGGCAGGGACCCCGGCCCCAGGAAAGAGATCCGAACCTCTTGGAAGCTTAGTGTCTTCACCTGCCCAGGGCGGTCACCCGTCGCCATTGTCCTCATTGCTGTTCAGTGTCCTGTTTCCCTGTCACGTGATGGGACTAGGGCCGTTTGGGGCTCGACTGGATCCCCAGCGTCAGGCCTGGCATAGTGCAGGTTCTCTGTCGATGTCCGCCACATAGACGTGCACGGGCAGAGGAGAAGGGTCGGTGGGTCCCTCTCAATGGCTTGGCGGCAGCGTTAGGTGAATCTTACGGGACAAAGATGTGAGCCGAGGCTGCCGTTCGGCGCACCTGTGTGGGTCTGGTGTGTGGGCGGGGGTGGGGGCCAGCAGCCAGCACCCACAGTCCTCCCTCTCCCCCAGGCTCTCTCCAGGCTCATTTCGTCCTGTCGGCACTCGGGGTCGGCACTCCCCTTTTATTAACGAGGAAGCTGAGGCACAGGAAGGTTGAGCAGTGGGTCCAGGGCCCAGACCCCGGCCGTCAGCTCCCGGGGCCTCCTGTGGATGGGAGAGATGACTTCTGACCTGGGAGGGCGTGAAGTGCCCGCTGAGCCCGTTGGGACAGGCAGTGACAGCTCCTCGTGCCCACAGGACAGAAGCTGCTGGACTCACTGGCAGAGACGTGGGACTTCTTCTTCAGCGACGTGCTGCCCACACTGCAGGCTATTTTCTACCCCGTGCAGGTGAGTGGCCCCTGCAGCCATGGGACCCCCGGGCCACCATGTCGGCCCTCCCTGGCCTCACTGCAGACTGCCCGGCCCGAGGATGGGCACCCCCTTCTGCCCCTCACCGCTCTTACGGCTGTCTGCACCTGGACATGTCCCGGGACCTCTCAGAACCTGCCACCCACCCATGAGATGGAAATGAGAACAGCTCCCTCCCAAGGGCTCGGTAAAGCCCAAAGCAGCACACAGTAGGGCTGCCTAGCACATACTGGGGGCTCTGTGTGTGACACCAAGCCTCTCCTTGCCTGAGGGTCGGCGGGTCCGTTCTCGTGTCTGGCCCCAGAACGAGGACATGTGGTGTCCTCTGTCACCAGGGCAAGGAGCCGTCGGTCCGCCAGCTGGCCCTGCTGCACTTCCGGGACACCATCACCCTCAGCGTGAAGCTGGAGGACGCGCTGACCCGCACCCACGCCCGCGTGCCTGCCGCCATCGTGCAGATGCTGCTGATCCTGCAGGTGGGTGGCTCTGAGGAGGCCGCCGCTTACCCATGTCAGGGGCCCCCGTGGGAATGCGGGTACAAGGCCAGACTCGGGCAGATGCTGCGTCTTGAGACAGGCTCTCCAGAGGAGGGCTCTGAGAGGAGGATTTGGGGCCACGTGACTTCCCAGTGGGGCTACTGTCGGGAGAGTGAAGCAGGAGGGGTCGGGGAGATGGACGAAGACGTGGGTTCGGGAGGAGGCTGGCCTCAGCCAGGTCCCACGGGAGCCCGGGAGTGCGAACTGGACCAGAGTTGTTCCTCGTGGGCAGGGCTGGGCCTTTGCGCCCCTCGCCAGTCAGTCGTTGGGGCTGCGGGCCGCCTCCCCCCACGCCCCACAGTGGTCCCAGACATCTCTGGTGCAGATGGCTTTCGTCCACGAGGGCAGCTCAGGGCGGGGCTGCTGCGAGCTTTCTGCAGCCACACTCCCAGCGGTGGGGGGTGAGTGGCCCGCCCGAGACAGGATCTGACAGGCCACCAACAGCCCCCACTGCAAACTGCTGCATACCGAGCCCTGTGGAGGGCACAGCACTCTACAGTTTGCCGCTTGCCTCACTGTGTGGCATTGAGACAAGGGTAGGCGCTGTCAGCCGTCCCATTTTACAGGTGGAGAAATAGAGTCCCCGACAGTAACCAGGGCAGGATCCTTGCCGCACCCAGGTCTGATGGGGTTCACAGCCCTGGTGGCGGTTCTGAGTCCCCTACGCACGTGCAACTCCTGCTAAATTAGGGTCCCCGACGGCACGCCTGGGGCCCAGGGCAGCCGCTGAGTGTGGAGGTTTAAAGTGCCGGCTGCACCGGGTGGGAGCTGTGGTCGTCCTGGCAACTATGGGGACCCCAGGCCATTTTCAAGGGCTTTCAGGTCAGACCTGGATGGGTTGAAGCTGAGAGCCTTGAGGGACTTTGTCACTTGGCCTCTTTTGTCGTCTGTGTGATGGAGTAAGATGACCTACCTGGTAGGGCAGGTTCAAGGATAACAGGGAGAAGTTGGGGAGATGCCTCTGGAAGGCAGCCGCGGGACTGGGGCTGAGGAGTAAGGTCCCATCTTGATCCCAGGAGCAGTACCCGGTGGTCTGCCAGGCTAGGTGGCTGCTGCCCCCTGGTGGCCACTGTGTCTCATGCAGCTTCCTGGGCTTGACCCCATCATTCCCCAGACTGTCCCGGCCCAGTGGGTGTGACCCCCAAACACAGCCCTTTGCATTGCTTCGCCCCCTCCCACCCCTGCCCACACTTTGAATGACCTTGTCCCAACCCCTCAGTGAACTCGTCCCCACTGTTTTTGAGTCTCAGATAGATCTGAAGTCACAGCTGCTGGTCAGCATATTTTGAGGGCCTACTGTGTGCCCCGTGCTTCACCGCAGAGTCCCGGTTCCTTCTCACAGCGTCCCCAAAGCCAGGAAATGGCCGTGCATCTCAGTGCACACAGATAACGCAGCCCCTGGCCCCCCATTTCCTCACTGCAGTGGGGAGCAGAGACCGGACTTCGTAAACGAACTCTAGGAATGAAAGGACGTAAAGTTCATGAAATGCCCCGCACAGCTCAGCGGTGTCATCCTCATCTGCGTCACTGCTGCTGGAAGCAGAGACAGGTCCGTCCCTGCACGGTCACCTGGATGACTTACGGGGGCTCCACGGGGTCTGTAGTGATGACCCCTCTGTCATTTCCGATATTAGTAATTTATGTCTTCCCTTTTTTTTTTTTTCCTTAGTTATCCGGACTAGGGGCTTATTGATTTTATTGACCTTTTAAAAGAACTAGCTTTCGATTTCATTGGCTTTTTCTATTGATTCCTTTTTTGAATTTCATTAATTTCTCCTCTGATTCTTATTTCTGTTCTCCAGCTTATTTCGGATTTAATTTGTTCTTCTTTCAGTTTCCTAAGATGGAAGCTTAGATTATCGATTTTAGATCTAATTTAATATATTCATTCAGCGCTGTGAATTGCCCTCTTAAGCACCACTTTCGATGTATTTTATACATTTGGATAAGTTACATTTTCATTGCATTTATTTCAAACTATTTAAAAATGTTTCATGAGATTTCTTCTTAGACTCATGTGTTATTTAGAAGCGAGTTGATTAATCTCCACGTATTTGGGGACTTTTTGGTTTTCTTCTATTGATTCCTGGTTTAATCCCTTTGTGGCCGGAGAGCAGACATCATATGATTTCTTTTTTTTTTTTTTTTGGATGTGTTTTATTGCCCAGTATGTGGTCTGTCTTGCGAACGTTCCATGCGAGCTTGAGAACGTGTATTCTCCCGTCGTTGCATGAAATAGTCTGTAGATGTCATTTGTGTCCAGTTGATTGATGGTGGCGTCGAGTTTGGCAATGTCCGTACTGATTGTCTGCCTCCTGGATGTGCACTTCTGAGAGGGGCGTCGGAGTCTCTGACCGTGAGAGCGATCCGTGTCTCTCCCTGCAGCCCGTCCGGTTTTCGCCTCCCGTGGTTTGGTGCTCCGTTCTTCGGTGCGTGCGAAGGGTTGTTGTGATGTCTCGGAGAATTGGTCCCTTTTCATTATGCAGTGATCTTCTTTGCCCTGTTCCTTTCTTTGGTCTGGAGTCACCCTGTCTGAAACGAACACGGCCACTCCGGCTTTCTGCCACTCATCAGTGCCTGGCATAGCTTTCTCCACCCCCGTCCTGTTAATCTACACGCGTCTTTATAGACGAAGTGGATTTCTTGGAGGCAGCGTAGAGTCGGGTTCTCTTGCTGTCTTGAACTGTCACTTAACACAAACCTGAGCAGCCTGTTGAGGATCGATGTCTTTTATTCATTCGTACGTCATTCATTCAGTAAGCACTCACTAAACGCCTATTGAGTGCTGGCCCTCTGCTGGGGATGCTGGGGACACAGGGCTTGCCCCCCACGCCCTCAGTTAGCAAGATCAGGGCTGTCCCGTAGCGGCCTCATTCCTCAGGCTCTGGCTGAGGGAAGTTGTCAGGGAGGAGCTGGACGGGACCTGGCGGGGATGGCGGGCAGTGTGAGGGGTAGGGGCAGCCTGCCCAGCCTGGACGTGACCTTGGCCTGGCCCCACAGGCGGGCTTTCCTGCCTGCTGCACTCCACGGGGCGAGGGCATTGGCTCCGGGTGGATTTCCCAGCAGGACTGGCCAGGGCGGGGGTTCTCCCCAGGGGCAGAGTGCGGGCTGCCCAACCTCGCTTGGCCACGGGGCTCTTTTCCACTGGGCACTGGTCTCCCAGACCCACAGCCACTGTGGGCAGCGGGCAGCTGCAGATGGTGTCAAAGCCAGAGAGTGACTCGGAGTTTTGGCGGGTGCTGTGTTGGGGGCCAGGGGCCCGTGGGGGGAGGGGGTGTTTGTGGTGGCTTCGAGCTCAGCCGGCTGGGTGAGGAAAACACACTGGGCCGTGCTGTGACCTTCCCCCCTCGTCCCCTCGCAGGGCGTGCACGAGTCCCGGGCCGTGACCAAAGCTCAGCCGGCTGAGTGAGGAAAACACACTGGGCCGTGCTGTGACCCTGCCCCCTTGTCCCCTCGCAGGGCGTGCATGAGTCCCGGGCCGTGACCAAGGACTACCTGCGCCTGGAGATGCTGATCCAGAAGGTGGTGTCACCCTACCTGGGCACCTACGGCCTCTGCTCCAGTGAGGGCCCCTTCACACACTCCTGCGTCCTGGGTAGGGGTCCCTGGGCCTCGGGGGGAGCAGGGTGACACTGGACCCATCCACCTCTGCCCAGGGGCCCGGGCCTCCTAGTGGACAGGCCATATGCCGGGCCCTGAGCCCATGGAGATGGGCTTCCTGGGGTCCCTTCAAGAGCTGAGGGGGACCCAGTGGGCAGACACCATAGTGGTGAGGTGACAACTCCCTTGAGAGCCCAGCAGTGGCTGCTGCATCCCCAAGGCGGTCACAGCTGTGCGCAGTCCTGAAAGTTGGGGGTCGACCAGGCAAAGGACACAGCACGTGCCAGAGCCCCAGAAATCCCGGCTTCTTTGGCAACTCACAGGAGAGGGACGAGGTTGGGGGGTGGATGGGCTGGGCGTGCACAGAAGCCAGCCACATTGCCCCTCTTGGTTCATTTAGTAATGTAAACCAAGCACCTACTGTGCACCAATGCCTGTCCTTGGTCCCGGGGTCAGTAGAGACCAAGGCCCACCCACATAGGCTCGTCCACCAGAAGAGGCGACCAATGAGTGCACAGTCCCCAGATAAGTCCCCCAAGGTGGCCTGTGCCCAGCTGACACCAGGGCCGTGGGCGGGGAGCTCAGAGAAGGCCATACTGGGAGGTGACTGCCAAGCCGAAAGACCAGGAGGAGCCAGGCCTGGGAAGAGGTGTAGGAAGAGCACCCCGGACAGAGTGGACGCCTCACCCAGGGTGCTCACCCACCTGCTGGTTTAAAATCTGCCTACCAGGTCCGTCTCGGTGCAGGTGGGTCCCTGGCAGTTGGAGGACTTTGATGCCAGGCTCGGTGTGGCCCTGGGACCCCCCAGACCCAGGAGGGAGCCTCTTACCTCCCCAGAAAGCCCTGAGCCGCTCACCGTGCTCAGCCCTGCCACCTGGTGGTCAATGTGGAATTGCATGATCCTGAGTGGGAGCCTGAAACTTGTCCCTAGGCAGCCTAGGCCACCATTCTCA